TAATATTTTAGTGAAGCCATGATGAATTGCGTAGGGGTCCTGAAACCAGCTATTTATGTGGGCTGGCAGCACTTGTTGGTTGTGAGATGTTTGTCTGAGACGAGTACTCCTTCAACAGGTGTTGGATCAAACGCTATGCTGAGCAAAGCTGTCCTTAACAACTATAATTTAGTTGTTTTAAAATATTTTAGTGAAGCCATGATGAATTACGTAGGGGTCCTGAAACCAGCTATTTGTGTGGGCTGGCAGCATTGGTTGTTAGTGAGCTGTTTGTCTGAGATGAGCACTACTGCAATATATGCTGGATCAAAGGCTAACCTAAGCTTAATTGCTTCTAAGATTTTCTATTGGTATTCGTCATTACAATTAACTCTTTATTTTCCAGGTTTTCAGCTGAGGAAGCTCGTGACTTGATTCAGAGGTATCTTACCGAGCACCCTGATCCTAACAATGAAAATATTGTTGGCTACAACAACAAGAAGTGCTGGCCTAGAGATGCTCGAATGCGTCTAATGAAGCATGATGTTAATTTGTAAGTGAAGTCTTTTCTTCAATGCTAATTATATTAAGCTACTCTTCAGTTATTCATTTTAATGTTTTTGGGCTTGTTTTTAAATTTCTAGGGGAAGAGCTGTTTTTTGGGATATTAAAAACAGATTACCTCGCTCTACAACCACAATTCAGTGGGAAAACAGCTTTGTTAGTGTGTATTCTAAGGATAATCCCAACTTGTTGTTCAATATGAGTGGCTTTGAGTGTCGTATTCTTCCCAAGGTAAGAAATTATGTTGCTCATATCTCTTTGATGTCCAAGGTTTTGTTTTCTTATCTTTTTAATTTCAAACCTAAATATTTCCATTTCTTCTTCTAGTGCCGCACCACTCATGAGGAGTTCACCCATCGTGATGGTGTGTGGAATCTTCAAAATGAAATTACCAAGGAACGAACTGCTCAATGTTTCCTTCGGGTTGATGATGAATCAATGCAGCGTTTCCACAACAGGGTCAGGCAAATTCTCATGGCTTCTGGTTCAACAACTTTCACTAAGGTAAGTGTTTTTCATCTTCTTGCTTTGCTAGCTCTGAAATTAAGTGAATTTATTGTTAAATGTTATCTTTACAGATTGTAAACAAATGGAATACTGCTCTCATTGGCCTTATGACTTACTTCCGTGAAGCTGTTGTCAATACTCAAGAGCTTCTGGATCTCCTAGTAAAGTGTGAAAACAAGATTCAAACACGTATCAAGATTGGTTTGAACTCTAAAATGCCTTCCCGTTTCCCTCCTGTTGTGTTCTACACCCCAAAGGAGTTGGGTGGTCTTGGAATGCTGTCCATGGGCCATGTTCTTATTCCTCAATCTGATTTGAGATGGTCTAAGCAAACTGATGTGGGAATCACTCATTTCCGTTCAGGTATGAGCCATGATGAAGACCAACTTATTCCCAATCTGTACCGATACATTCAACCTTGGGAAAGTGAATTCATTGATTCTCAAAGAGTGTGGGCTGAATATGCCCTGAAAAGACAAGAAGCTAATGCCCAAAACAGACGTTTGACACTTGAAGATTTAGAAGATTCATGGGACCGAGGTATTCCCCGAATCAATACATTGTTCCAGAAGGACAGGCATACTCTTGCCTATGATAAGGGTTGGCGTATCCGAACAGAATTCAAGCAATACCAAGTACTGAAACAGAACCCCTTCTGGTGGACACATCAGAGGCACGACGGAAAGTTGTGGAACTTGAACAACTACCGTACTGATATGATTCAGGCATTGGGTGGTGTTGAGGGTATTTTGGAACACACCTTATTCAAAGGCACTTATTTCCCAACATGGGAAGGTTTGTTCTGGGAGAAAGCATCAGGATTCGAAGAATCAATGAAATACAAGAAGCTGACAAATGCCCAGCGTTCTGGTTTGAACCAGATCCCGAACCGTCGTTTCACTCTCTGGTGGTCTCCTACCATCAACAGAGCCAACGTGTATGTTGGTTTCCAGGTGCAACTAGATTTGACTGGAATTTTCATGCACGGCAAGATCCCCACTCTCAAGATCTCCCTCATCCAAATCTTCAGAGCTCACTTGTGGCAGAAAGTCCATGAGTCAATTGTTATGGATTTGTGTCAAGTTTTTGATCAAGAATTGGATGCTTTGGAAATTGAAACTGTTCAGAAGGAAACAATTCATCCTCGTAAATCTTACAAAATGAACTCATCTTGTGCTGATGTCTTATTGTTTGCTGCCTACAAGTGGAATGTTTCAAGACCATCACTACTGGCAGACTCCAAAGACACCATGGACAATACTACAACTCAAAAGTATTGGATAGATGTTCAGCTGAGATGGGGAGATTATGACTCCCATGATATTGAACGTTATGCTAGGGCTAAATTCCTTGATTACACAACGGATAACATGTCCATCTATCCTTCTCCTACGGGTGTTCTAATTGCTATTGACTTGGCATACAACTTGCATAGTGCTTACGGCAATTGGTTCCCTGGTTCCAAGCCTCTGATTCAGCAGGCCATGGCCAAAATCATGAAAGCCAACCCTGCACTGTATGTGCTTAGAGAACGTATTCGTAAGGCACTACAACTCTACTCCTCAGAGCCCACTGAACCATACTTGTCTTCACAGAACTATGGTGAACTCTTCTCTAACCAGATCATCTGGTTTGTTGATGATACTAATGTGTATCGTGTTACAATCCACAAAACATTTGAAGGAAATTTAACCACTAAACCTATCAACGGTGCTATTTTCATCTTCAACCCAAGAACAGGACAGTTATTCCTGAAGATTATTCACACATCTGTGTGGGCAGGACAGAAGCGTCTTGGACAACTTGCTAAATGGAAAACTGCAGAAGAAGTTGCTGCATTGATTCGGTCGTTACCTGTTGAAGAACAACCTAAACAAATTATTGTTACAAGAAAGGGTATGCTTGACCCTCTGGAAGTCCATTTGCTGGACTTCCCAAATATTGTCATCAAAGGTTCAGAACTTCAGCTGCCATTCCAAGCTTGTTTAAAGGTTGAAAAGTTTGGTGATTTGATTCTGAAGGCCACAGAACCTCAAATGGTTCTCTTCAACTTGTACGATGATTGGTTGAAGACTATTTCATCCTACACTGCTTTCTCTAGGCTTATTCTTATTCTGCGTGCTCTTCACGTCAACACAGAGAGAACTAAAGTTGTCCTGAAACCAGACAAAACAACCATCACAGAACCGCATCATATTTGGCCTACTTTGACTGATGATGAATGGATTAAGGTGGAAGTGCAGTTAAAGGATTTAATTCTTGCAGATTACGGCAAGAAGAACAATGTCAATGTAGCCTCACTAACTCAGTCTGAGATCCGAGATATCATTCTTGGTATGGAAATCAGTGCTCCCTCCGCTCAACGTCAACAGATTGCAGAAATTGAAAAGCAAACTAAAGAACAAAGTCAACTGACTGCCACAACAACACGTACAGTCAACAAGCATGGTGATGAAATTATTACGTCTACTACATCAAATTATGAAACCCACACTTTCAGGTAATTATTGAACCACTAATAACAGCCCCTCAATTCCTAGGTTTCAGTTTTATTCAATTGTCAATTGATTGTAAATTTTCTGAATTTCAGTTCCAAGACTGAATGGAGAGTTCGGGCCATATCTGCAACCAACTTGCACTTACGGACAAACCATATCTATGTCCAATCAGATGATATCAAGGAAACTGGTTACACTTATATTCTTCCTAAAAATGTTCTTAAGAAGTTTGTCACAATATCTGATCTGCGAGCCCAGGTTTGTTTTGAGTTCTGTATGTTCTGTAACATCTTGCTTTTACCTAAAGCACATTACTTATGTTGCTTGTGCAAAATATTTTCAGATTGCTGGTTACCTGTATGGTGTTAGTCCACCAGATAATCCACAGGTGAAGGAGATCAGGTGTATAGTGATGGCTCCTCAGTGGGGTACTCATCAGACAGTTCATCTTCCTGGGCAACTACCTCAGCATGCCTATCTTAAGGAAATGGAACCTCTTGGTTGGATCCACACACAACCGAATGAATTACCTCAACTTTCACCTCAGGACATCACAACACATGCCAAAGTTATGGCTGACAATGCTTCGTGGGATGGAGAGAAGACTATCATCATCACTTGCAGCTTCACACCTGGCTCATGCTCCCTCACAGCGTACAAGCTGACCCCTAGTGGATTTGAATGGGGTCGTCAGAATACTGACAAAGGAAATAATCCTAAAGGCTATTTACCCTCCCATTATGAAAAAGTTCAGATGCTTCTTTCAGACCGTTTCCTTGGTTTCTTTATGGTACCTGCTCAAGGTTCATGGAATTACAACTTCATGGGTGAGTTATACTTTTGAGATATAAATTCCATTGTGATTTATTTTATTGAATAATGTGAAGTTTTAATCAATGTCTATCTTTTCAGGTGTCCGTCATGACCCTAATATGAAATATGAGCTTCAACTAGCCAATCCGAAAGAGTTTTATCATGAAGTCCATAGGCCTGCTCATTTCCTCAATTTCTCATCTCTTGAAGATGGTGATGGAGTTGGTGCAGACAGAGAAGATCTATATACCTAAGCAGCTTGAGGTCCACTGTGTGGATTGCATTTACGTGCTTTAGGGAGAGTATTGACTTCATCCTGCTAGTGTAGAAAATCAATGTGGCAGGATGAATATTACTGTGATAGTATGCAGATACATCAGTCCAATGAAGTCAGTGTTAGTATTTTAATCTTTTTAGTTCACTTTTGTGGAATAGCTTCTCATAATCACCTCATTGTTTTTTCTTTACGTTTTGATTTTGGATAGTATGGGTACATTCCTCTAAGGGTGTGCATGACTCTTCTGTCAAGATTGTCTGTTTTTTTATTCTTTCAAGTAAAGGCTCATTAAAGTTCTCTGTAATTTTAGGACAATGTGTGTACT